ATTCGTGTGTATAAGTGAGAGGATGAGAATATTGAGTGAATGAAAGGAGAGGAGGGGTGCTTGTATTTATAGATGAAATTCTGCCGACGATTCCGACGAAATTCCGACGGAAAACTAGTATTCCGTCGGAATTTCGTCGGAATATACAACGGTCATAAATATTCCTCGGAATTCCGTCGGAATATTCTGATGAAATTCCGAGGAAAATGAAAATCCTCGGAATTTTCGAACTTTTCCAACGACTCGTCAACGGCTATAATTTATCCTCGGAATGTCCTCGGTTTATCCCGACAGAATATAGGTTCCTCGGAATGTCGTCGGAATATTCCGACGGAATTCCGAGGAAACATAAAATTTGTGTTTCGTCGGAATTCCATCGGAATCCCATCGGAATTTTCCGAGGAACTGCGTGGCCGTCGGAATTTTCCTCGGAATAAGCCCTGTTTTCTTGTAGTGATGATTAATTCTTAATAATGCTATAACAATTATGTTTACCAAAAAAAATATAAAAATTATATTCTGAATATTAATCAATAACATATATTTTGAACACCATAATGATTTGTTCAGATTAAACAGTTTATTTGGTCTTCAGATACAGTAAGATATGCAAAATTCAAAGAAACATGAATATTTACAATTAATAATGATCAATATTAAATTTGTACGCTGTGTACTGTAATTATTAGTTCAACTAGATCTTTTGGCCGTGCTACGCACTGCTAGTCTTTTAAACAAAATTTCCAAATATATTATTTATATATATATATATAATATTATATAACTAAATTTATAATTAAAACAAAAGAAATAGAATGTTAAATTTAATAGAAAAAGTTAACGATTGACAAAATTATTGTAGTTAATGTAAGCAAGAGTTTCATAAGTAATACTAAAAATGAACAATTTTTTTTTCTAGTTTTTCTTTAACAGAAACCTTATTTTATTTTTGGTATAAATAACTTACATAATAATTACTATAACATTATAATATGTAGTTTTATATTTTCTATCTTCAAAATGTTGGTAGAAAATAAACACTATCAAAATCTGAAAATTAAGTATATAAAATGAATTGAATTTTATTGAAATTCAAAATGATAATATATATTTTTAAGATTGTATATTTTGTTGTTATGAATAATGTGTATTTATTCTATTTATTTATAGAATGGGTGATATTAATTTATCATTGCCATCAATGTTTTTAATACCAAACCGAACATTGACTTGACATTACAGTTAGGTTAATGGTCACACCGGTCCAACTGGGTTGTAAATGTAATTTAATTCTAAGTTATATATATATATATATATATATATTTATAACTATAAAAGTATTTTTATAAGACTTTATCATTGTTTGAAGATAAAATGATATGAAAATAAAATGAAAAATTCAAAAATAATATAAAATATAATGAAAAATAATTAATTTCAATAGATATTAAAAAAAATACAGGTTTATATGATTTTTTTTTTTAAATTGTATTTTAACTTGAATTTGAAAAAATCTAGGTCTAACATCAAACTGGATTATCGACTTTAGCGAGTGATAGGTTCTTAAACCGATTTTTTTGGTTTTTAGCACAACTAAAAATTGTTTAAAAGAGAGAGTCATGATCCAATCAGCCGGTTCCGGTTTTTAAAAAACTTCTTCTCAAAGAACATTTTTAATAACAAACAACAAAATCATTTTAGTAGACATATTTTTACTATGAAATTATTATGAACTTATGCCATCTTAATTTTTTGTGTGTTTTCAAGTTTCCAAAGACTATGCATTATGAACCAAATTGTATGCATAGGATAGATCAAAATATAATTTTATAATAAAGATATAGAAATTTGTGTGACCACCATAATTATACATTTAAGAAAAGATAGTCATTTGAACCTAAAAAAATGAATCTTTTTTTTTTTAAAGTTAAGTATAAATTTATAAATACATATATTATCCGTAATTTTTCAAAACAAAGAAAATCAGATAATTAAATATCCGTAAAATACAAAGCAAACCGCAAATACTTAAAATTATGGTAGTATTCGATCCATGTCACCCCTAGTTTTATCCAAGGTTCTAAAACGCAGCCGTCGCACCGCCTAGGCGGCCGAGTAGGCGTTCAACGGTGGTCAACCGCCGCGCGTCGCACCGCTTATGGTAGTATTCGATCCATGCCACCCCTAGTTTTATCCAAGATTCTAAAACGCAGCCGTCGCACCGCCTAGGCGGCCGCGCGTCGCACCGCCTAGGCGGCCGAGTAGGCGTTCAACGGTGGTCAACCGCCGCGACTATGATCAATTCGGTTTAATTAGTCGGATACCCGATTAATTATTTTAATAACAGACTAATTAATTATTTTAATAACAGACTAATCGTTTTAAAACCGATTAATTCCGCCTAAAACCGACTTAAACCCATTCAATATTGGACCTCTTTGGCAAATATTTGGGCCATATAACAAGCCCACTCGCCTGGAATGAAAGAATTCATTCTCTGTGTATTTATAGAGTTACCAAGACTCCTCTTTCTCATGTTTAGTCGATGTGGGACAAATGCAAATTGGTTTTCATTTTTTTTTTTTTTTTTTTACTCGCGCTAATTAAAAGAAAAGAAACATGGTGTCTCAAGAGAATCGAACCTTACACCTATGCAGGGGCAGAGACTCCGTGAACCGCTGTACTATGCTGTCTTCACAACTAACTTTCACATGTATTAATATATAATACGTATATTTATAATTAAAAAATATAAAAATTAATCCCTGATTATATCCCGATTAATCCCCGCTTTTTTTTTTAACTCGCTAGGCCTGGAGTTGCCGCCCGACTAGCGCCTAGCGTAGTTTCAAACATTGATTTTATCTATGAATATGTCAGCCAAGTGAAGATCATATAATTATATATTTAAGTGCACGCTGGTCCTAACTTTGTGAAATTCTCTTGGCAAACTTAAATAGATTTCAACTAAAGAGAATAATATACCATGTTAGTATAATATGCCTCTCTGTAAGAAGTGTCAGAAAACTAATCCAGAAACATTGTTAAATTTTCAGTTTCATTTTCAATTTCCACATAAAGTCATTAGATAGAAGACAACAACCTAGCATCATAGTCTGTTTTGACACATTTTCGATAATTTAGTTAGGAGTTCGTAGAGAAAAAAAAGAGAGTCTATTTACTTAAAAACTTTCTAACAAAATATCAATAAATTAGTGTAATGTCTAATAAGAAGCTTACTTTAACTTAACATTTTTCTTTTTTTTGGAGTCGTTTTGTGGACCTTTGGGAGTCCCAAACCAACGTCCTCATGCTTTCTCTAACCATGTCATGTCTTCCTCTTAAAGGTTTTTTTTTGTGAATTTCTATTCTCCAGGTCTTTTGTGAGTGTATGTATATATAATGTTTCATTACTCACTATTAGCTCAGAAGTTGTATAAATAGTTTTTGAAGAATAGTTTTAACATCTCAAATTATATTTTTTTAACACATTTTAACATGCAGAGGAAGTGAGTTCTTCAATGCCTATATTGCGTTTACTTAATTTGAGCTTACAGGAAGACATGTATATTGATAGGTTAAACACCATCCACCACGTTGAGTTTAATTAAAAATAGATAAATTTCTTATAGTGCATAACCAAACGAAAAGGACGACATAAAACATAAGGAAAAGTAATGGATAGGTGATTTATGTTTTCTAGGTGGATCTAATCTTAATTGTTCCCCATTCTTTCCATTATTTGGGTCAATAATCTGATTGTTTGATGCTGAATGCTCTCCTTCTGGTACAGCAGATGCAGAGGCGGTCCCATGATTAGATATTAGTGGGGGTCAGAAAAATTAAAATGACACTAGTGGGAGTCGAACCAAGAATTTTGAGAGTTCAAGAGCTGTGTTTTACCAACTCTGCTGCTTAATCTCTGTTGTTTTCCTATACGAATCAGCATATTATTGACCTGAACAATTCCACATAGCAGTGATATGACAGAAAATACAGCCTCTATTAGCTGACGTGACATAGCTCATAGGCTCTTAATAAGAACTTTTAATTATAGTTATAGTAGATTCAGAAAACAGAACTTTAACAAGTTTCACATACTCTTTCTCAAATGCGGCATGTCAGTATAACACAACTTTGAAAAGCTTAGATAAAACCTTCCAAACAGATTTGATTTGATCTGGACTGAATCTTTTTATACAGACAAGGAACAAAATGTGCTCTGAAGTTGGTAAAACCAATCTCATATGACCAAGAAAGGCAAAAGATCGAGCCCATGAGATTACATTACCTCCATCTCTCAAGCTATGTTTATATATTGATCATAAAAAAACCAAGTAACTTTGACCATAGCCTTGCAACTGATTATGCTACTAAGATCAATTTCTGATAATATTTGACAAACAAATCTGTCAGTTTATTACTTTGATTAACCAATAATTGTACAATTTCGTAACATAAGAAAAGAAAACAAGGCTGAAAATATAATAATTCACATTTGGTAAAAGCTTGTACAAATTAAAAAGTGAGTCCAGTCTTGACAATAAGATCAAGAAAACTCAATAGATTTCTCATACTTGGCCTCTCGTTAGGATTCTCCCTCACAGCAAGCTCAGCTAACTCAGCCAACTTAAGCAACGGCTCAACATTTCTAGGTAGACCAATGTTCCTATCGATAATCGCAGCCGCTTTACCTTTCCTGATCAAAGGAACAGCCCATTCCGCAACCCCGTGAGGATCAGACTCTCTATCGTTAGCTTTCCTCCCACTTAGCATCTCAAGAAGAACAATACCAAAGTCATACACATCACCTTCTCTATCACTCTTGCTTGAGTCTCTTTCACTAGAGCTAACCAATCCAAAATCCGCAATTCTTGCACACATCTCACCGTCCAACAAGATGTTAGACGTCTTCACATCTCTATGAATCACCGGAGGATCAACTTCATTGTGTAAGTAATCAAGCCCTCTTGCAGCTTGCAACATAATCTTCAACCTCATGCTCCAATCTAGTTGAGAAAGATCTCCATGGAGATGATCATGGAGCGTACCGTGCGGCATGTACTCATAAACCAAAAGCCTTTCACCCATCTCCGCGCAGTATCCCAAAAGATTTACAATGTTGTTATGTCTGATCTTGCAAAGAATCTCTAACTCTGACTCGAAGTCTCGGTTATTAGAATGTATGATGGTTGCAGCGTTGGCTCTTTTGACCGCGACTTGAACACCATCAGATAAAACAGCCTTGTAGACAAACCCGAAGCTACCTCTTCCTAGCTCACTAAACTCTTTAAACCCGTGAGTAGCGTCTTTCAATTCAGACAAACGGAAGATCTTTGTCTCTCCCAAGGAGACAGCGCTTGGGAGAAGACCCGTCTGAGGAAGAGGATCAGGATCAGCTTCGACAGAGTTCTTGTCGAAACAAAAGCAACAAGTCATCTTACTCCTCTCTTCATCATCTCTTTTACTACCTTTAGTCATCCTCGGAATGAAAGATAGACCAACCAACATAACCAAGAACCCTAAAACAGAGACCCCAATGATAATCACAAGTCTCCTCACCTCTCTCTGCTCATGCTTCCTCGATTTCTCACCAGGGATCTTACAAACACCGTAGCAAGAACTGTTCTGACATAACGAACAAGGAGTGCATACCCTATCCGCGTTAGGGTTACAACCACTCGAAGGGAAGTAACCCTCCAAGCAATCAACCCCGCAGCGTAAACAAATGTTTAGGTCATGAAACGAGCACAAGCTAGTAAGCTCAGACTCTTTCAAGATACTTGCGTTGAAAGCAAACCAACCATCACCACAGTTACCTCGAGGAGAACACACCCCGGGGCTGCATAGCTCCAAGGGAGGACTATAATCCGGTTTAGTGGAATCATGAACTCTCCAGCAATCAAGAACCAAATCAAGCTCTCTAACACCACAAGTCGTCGAATCCGAAGACGAAATCGCTACAAAGCCTGAAGTATTAGGAGCTGAAGAGGAGGAATTCACGTTTCTTCCCCAACACGCAACTCCATGATCATCCTCTCTGATACCACAATAATGATTAGCACCAGCTGAAAGAGAAATAAACCGGACCCGGTTTGGTACTTCATCTCCAAACTCTGTTTCATCTCCAAAGCATTGAAGCTGACCAGACTCTTTAGAGACACCACAAAGTGAGTTTCTCCCTGAAGCTAAAACCTCGAACACTTCTTCTCCCTTGTCGGAGAGACCCAAACCGTTTGACTTTGGTCCCCAACAAACCAACTCTCCATCTTTAGTAACACCACAAGTAAACCCATCTCCAGACACAATCTTACGAAACATGAGTGTATCTATGTAAGAGTTATGAAAAGAAGAGTTCCAGAGAACACCAGATGCGAAGTTTGTCGTGTCCGTATACTCCCAACAATGGACAGGACCGTAGTCAGGTCCTGAGTAATACAACCCACTTATAGCACAGACATGGTTGTTACCAGAAGCGATACTCGAGTAAGAGTTGTACTGAAAAGCTTTTGGGACGAGGTTTTGAGAAGGATCTTGAAGGTTCCAGCAGAAGGCACGAGAAGTGTTTGAGGTGATGGCGCAGAGGAAGCCTTCACCGCCGGAGAGAGAAGACATCGGGGGTGTGTAACCGGAGATTTCTCCGGGAGAGTGGTTTGTGTTGCCTCTGTCCCAGCAGATGACTTCTTGCTTCCCGCTTGCGTCGATGGCGCAGAAGAACCCTTTTTCGCCAAATGCTGCGGCGATGGTTCCCGTTGAGCCGTAGCCATGGACGGTGGTGAGAAGTGAAGTGGAGATGAAGAGGAAGGAGAAGAAGAAGATGATGGTATGCATTTCGAGGTTTGAGTTGATGAAGAATCGATCTGAGAGAGATGATTGAGTGGACATGTTAATGAATGCAGTTCTTGTTTATTTTTTTTGTATATTATAAAGTTTTAAAATATAAATAATGATAACGGAAGTGAGCTGTTTATGTCTGCGCGAAGGTTCATTGGAGAGAGACATTCAAGTTAACAAACTGGTCAGGGAGATGGAACATACCAGAGAAATCATTTTAGTTTTAAAAGGAAAAATATAGTAAATGGAAAAATGTACGGACAATTACTGTAATTCTTATAGAGAACTGTAGTGAGTATTAATGATAACAAATTTTATATAACTAAAAATTTGCGGAGTCTACAGTCACACGTATGTGAAATTTAAATTTGGAATTATGACAGACAGTAACATTGATATAAACTATTTAAATTTGTTAAAATTTACGTTTTAGTATATATTCATGTTTACTAAAATACGTACGCAGTTATAAATATTTTTCTTTGTTTAGGAGTATACTAGAGATAATTATATTAACCAACCATCTCTAATCTAGTCTTACATAGAATTTTGGTCTACAAAAGTTTTTTTTTGTAATTCTACTCCATAAATTGATAAAGAGTTATTTAACCATCATCATGTCTCTGTCTATTGACTTTTGACTATTTTTATTGTAAAATCTTTTTTAGATAGCAACATAATATGTATAGAAACTATCTTTTTTCTTTAAATATATTTTTAGATTTTGGATAATTCTTATTATTAATTTTAATCATTTATTTCATCAAATAAAATTAAAATTCATTTTTGTAATTTATATAATTTATTCATAACGATATTAACCACTTTAACTTTTAATGTGTAAGTTTAAATGCGAAAGATCGATTCGTAAATAATAGTATAGATAGTATGAACTTTGAAGTATTCTTAACAAATTTTCAAATTGTTTTTTTTTGTAACTCAAATTTTCAAATTCTTCAGCTACATACATATGTGTAAGGATTTTAAAAAATGTATATAATCTTTGAGAACAATATCGATAATTTTTTGAATGAACTATGACACCAAACAGTACGTAAGAAATGCATGTGGCGTGCTATTTTTTCTTAATAACTCGTAAAATAAAAATAGTACGTCAGTTATTATATAAATCGACCTTTTTGTCCAAATTCTTTCCAGATTTTCACGGCAAGGCAACTAGATATAGAAAAAGTGGTGTCGTGCAAACTAGAGTACTGTCAAAAGGGTTGATATTTGACTTTGCATTTAATCATAAGTGGCACATGCCCTTCTCCACGTGATATTAGCTTAAACAGTGCTGTTTATTTTATGAAGTTCAATAATATCTATTATAATATCCTTACATCATTGTTTTTTTTCATCAACGTCCGTATTGCTTTCCATTTTCTTGAAAACATTTGAATAAATTACCATAAAAGGTCATATTAGCTTTATATACATATTAAACTTTTATGGCCAAAAGGTAAACATTAGGTAAAAATGCATGGTATTTTTTGAAGACTCATGAATGTAATAACTACCTACACTATTATTTGCAAAGTGTTTTATTAAACTAAAATTTCATATTAAATTTAGATAGGTTAATATCATTGTCATTCTTAATGAATAAAATATATAAAGTAACTAAAATTAAAATGAATTTATAATTTATTTGATTAGTTAAATGATTAAAATTTATAATAATACGAATTATCAAAAATTTGAAAATATATTTTAAAATAAAAAAAGATAACTCTTATTATATTGAGTTGCTATCTGAAAAAAATATTTTAAATAAAAAGTTAAAATTCAAAAATAGAAAACAGAAACACATAACTAAATATTAATCAAGTAATTTTAAATTTTATATAATATAAAAGAAAATATTGTTGATTTTTAAGATTAAATTTTAAGGTTTTTGCACACAGATTAAGAAAATATTTAAATTTTACATATTTCCAAGATAAAAATACAATTACCTATACACCTAACCACTTTTCAACCAATAGAAAAATATAATATTATATAAAACTAATAAATTTTGCCTCGAAACTGTAAAACGACACTTAATTTGTGACAAAAAATAAGTATAGAATGACATATATTTTGAAACGGAGGGAGTGATACATAATAATTTTCAAATGAAAAAATATTATTGTATTCATTTAATTAATAATATGTGTTAATAAATAATTATAAAATATATATGCTCGTAAACTCGGACATAACACCTAGTTGCCAAACTTAAAAGACTATATTAGAGAACTAGGGCGAACAATTCGGTTAGTAAATTACCACACCCTATCTGATAACGATAAGCAAGAATTGTGTAACGAATCAAGTTAGGAAAAATCGGAGCCGGGCCAGAATGAAGAAAAATTGGACATAGCCGCATCTGAGATCCACAAACATTTTTAGGTTAATCTCAGTATAAGAATTTTTTTGACAATTTGTAGATTATCCAACCTCTTAGCTTTTTAAAATTTATGAATTAAATGAATGTTTATTCCTACTGTGTCTAGAAATGGTGCTGAATTGACCCTTGAATGATCTTCTCCGTCCAAAGTAAATAACACCATGGTTGCTTGGATTGGCGTCACAGTAAATTAGTGCTAGGCTAGATTTCATTTTGCCTATCTGTTCCTTAGTCATTGACAACAACAAATGCATAAACAATGGCTTTGCACTAGTTTCATCTTTCAATTATGTAATCATGTATGAGTAATGAGTTTGTTTCAATTTTATATGTGATAGTATCTCTGTGTTGGTTGTGGTTTTAGACTTTACACTATAAAGATACTTTATATCCCAATTTAATTGGCATGAAATCATATCTGAAACACACATATTTCCCTGTCTTTTTACATGGCAATTGATCACAGTCAAATTAGAATTTAACTAATAAATAATGCAAAGTCAAGTCTCCCGTTATGTGTTTAATCATATTATTATGTACATTAAACTCCAACGAATAACTAAGTAATAGCATGTGAGCATTGAGTTAAGAATTGAAAGGAAGAATAAAGCAATTGTTGGCATAATAATAGAAGTAGATCGCACAGAATCACACCAGATTTAGAACAATTTTGAAGAGATAACACATTGTTTGGAACGGAGAGAACATCGGCTTGTGTTAAGTGGGCCAAGTAGATTCTGTCTTCTCTGTCTTTTACTCCAACTCGTTTACATACATGATACATTCACTAAACATAAATATAATACATGTATAGCCACTTGTGTTTTTTTTTGTTATTGAATTACAGGTTGTTCTTACACATTCTTCTTTTAATGTCTAATCTAATAAATCACTAAGACGCAAATTGAATTCCCTATTATTAAGAATAGTTAACAACTAATATCACGCATTGGTGGGTTTGTCCGGTCGTCACGGGCAGTTAAAAATTCTAGGTTTTGTAGGCTAGATACACTGCACATTGCAGTCTGTAGAAGTCATTGTTCATGCAAGATGCAGACCAGATCAACCGTTAACCTTTAATGTGTCTCTGATATAGAAAAACGAGTAAAAGATATATTGAAGAATAAACTATTTCTGCTTTAGTAACTAGTATATCTCGTCAAGAGAAGAAAGTGGTATATTAGATAAATAATAATAATATCTAGACTTATTATCTGTTGACCAAAAAAGACTATTATCAACGATTAATATCGTTACAAGTATACCAGGGTACGTATTACGATTTGATTTGGTTGGAATGGTTAACAGTTATTAGGCTAGCATTTTACCCGAATCCACAGCACTAGAACCTATCCAAAAGTTCAAATCAAAACGAACTAAAACTTTACATGTACATATATAGAGATGACAATGTTAGAATTAGACTGCGGGTCTGGCCCGCAAAGGTTTGTAATGAATGTTAATGGATTTCATATTCTAGTCCATAAAATTGTGGGGCTCACATGAAGGTTTTTGTGGGATATATCTTTTGTGGAATGGATTTTCAACGGGATAGATCAAAATAGTCATGCAGGAGAACAAAGACCCGCAAATATCGGTTCTTCATTTTACTTTTCACCTGGAAAAGAAAATGAGACAAAGAGAAAAAGAGAATGAGGAGTAGAGATGCTATGTCGGACTTGGACCGCGAACCTAGGCTGTAAAGATTTGTAGCGGGAGCAGTACTGGGCCTTGATGTTATAGGCCCGTAAAATTGCGAGACTCGCATGAGATGTTTTTACAAGTTTTTTGTAGGATGGGCCGAAACAGATATGTGGGAGAACAAAGATCCGCAAATATTATTTCTTCACTTCACTTTTCACTTGAAAAAAAATGAGAGAGATAATGAAGAGGCGATTCAGGTACATGCAGAGCCGACTCTCACCACAAGCTGGCCTAACATAGGTTCTTTTTGAAACTGTTTAGTCTAAAGCCAAGAAAACGACCATTTCATACCCACCCTATCACGATATGTTCAATTCATACCCGACTTATATGGTCGTGTCAAAACATACCTGAATTTATATGATAGTGCCAAAACATACGTGGCTTATATGGTCGTGTCAAAGCCTGATCTGGATAATGTAGAAAAACATTTTGTTCTCTCTCATCGTGTTCAAAACTTTCTTACCAAAAAAAGCTCGCAAACAGTCCGACATATCAACACTTAATAATGGGCTTTGGGCCCAATGATTCACCCACTTCAATCAAACCTTATCTCGACTCTCTCTGAAATCTCCTCCTCCTCCAAAGCCAACGTGGATCACTCCTCTCCCCCCACATACAAAATCGAAATTCAGACCAATGATCTCGCTGTCACTCTCCATGTCTCCAACCTAACTAGTGTTTCTCCGGTAAGTATTCATGGCGTCTGTATCGCCGTCTTGCTCAACAATTCGCACACCAGTTCGACGCTCACCAGCTCTCGCCGTCGTTTCTGAATTGAGGCGATTCAAACAAAGAAGAGCCGTGCTGCCACCTGTCGCCGTCAGTATCGGCCACGTGGCGGACGTTGTGCGCAGTGACGTTGAGTTTCTGAAGAATAAAATCGGTATCGGATTAAAATGGGCCAACGTGGCTTTCCGTGTCCCGGAAGTGAGTAAATCAGCAGAGGAAGTGTTTTGGCTTCGGCATCTTGAGGATTCGGCTTCTCCTCCTTTGGAGCAACCGTCTTTGCCCCAACCTTCCTACTCAGGTAAAAGGTTTTATTTTAAAGTGTAGTAGTTGAGATTTAGGGGACTGTGGATTATTTAATAAATATTTCATCTTAGTTATTTTATTTCTACAATTTGGGTGCCTATTATTTATATAATAAGAAGAATGTTTCATTTGACTTGGCCCAGGACCCGCACTGGTAGTAGCAGTAGCTTGTTAGTTAGATAGCTTGAAAGTTGCAATGGTAGAAGAAATGATGAACTGTGATTGGAAAAAGTTGGGGACTCTAAGGTTTGAGTATTAGGGGAATTTGGTTACTTGATCAACAAGAATGTTTGTTTGATAAATGACTAGATAAGTACATTCTTCTCTGTTAGTTGGTAAGTGGAAGCAGTTTTGAGACTAGTAGATCTGTGCTCAAATGAGCTTAGAACTAGCTCATAGAGCTTTATTGTGGAATAACTAGAAAGGAAGAGAAAGAATTTAGATTGGCTTCATTACAAAGAGGATTCGATTGATATTTCGTACAATGAGGAAAGAGAGTTGCTTTGTGGCAACCCTCAAAGATGCATACACAATAACATAAGAAGCATTTACTTGGTTGAAACCCTAGCTACTTGGGCTAATGGTCACGAGTGACAGTTTACAACTTCTATGTATCCTTCAATAGTAAGCCTTTGCTAATGCAGTTTGAACCGTTTGCCAGGGCTCACTGGGGTGGATTTGTTAATGGCTGATGTCAAAGCCTTGGAAGCATATGCTGGTTACGTTTACTGCCTTTCTAAGATGTGGTCAAGACCACTCCCTGAAGTTTATGATCCACAAGCTGTTGCAGATTACTTTAATTGCAGGCCGCATGTCGTTGCCTTTAGGCTTCTTGAGGTATATTTCAAGAATTTTGGTTTATAAACCTTGTGGAGATGATTCTGCAACTAATCACTGATAACATTATAAAGTTTGATGACTACGCTTTAGAGATACTGATGATATCGGATGAGGTTTTCGTTTTTGTATCTTCCATTGAAACTAAAGTGACCTCAAGTTACCTAATTGTTTTTCTCTATGTTTCTCTTTTTACCTCTACTACCACTGGTTTGTAAATTTTAGCCATAACCTTTAAGGTGTATGTATAACACGTTGGCGCTCATATGAACTTTGAATGGTCACATAGATTCTCCAGTGGATACTATTTTCAAGAATCTCTTTATACGTCATCTATGGTTTGTATCGTTTTCTGTTAGCAGGAAACAGTATATCAGCTCTCTTTAGTGTTCTTGCTTTCTTTGAGAGACTGAAGTGTGTATTTGATTTTAATATAATGCTAATTATGTATAGGTATTTTCTGCGTTCATGATTGCTGCCATCAGAGTACGGGCATCAGAATCAGACAAAGGCAAAAATTTGGAAGCTTCAGGGCAGAAATTTGGGATGGTGTTGAAAGAAACCATGCTGCATTTGGGTCCCACTTTCATCAAAGGTTTGGTGATTCACGTATTATTTTGAAGTATCAAACTATCTATCACTCACCATTTACAGTTAATACTTTGCATTGTTGTGAATGATGCTTTCCTCTTTTTTGCTGGTCCAGTTGGTCAATCACTTTCCACAAGGCCAGATCTCATTGGGACTGAAACCGCCAAGGTCAGATAGATTAGAAGTTATGTTTATGTTCATGCGTGTCTAAAAATCTCTTAGCTTCTAATTGCCACTTGTATTACTTTGTAGGGTTAGTATGTTGGTTTTCATAAGTTATTAATTGGATTATGATTTGGAACAACAGGCACTCTCTGAACTGCATGACAGAATCCCTCCCTTTCCATGGCCAGAGGCTGCAAAAACCATTGAAGAGGAATTAGGGGCTCCTGTTGAATCATTCTTTAGTCAGTTCTCTCAAGAAACTGTAGCAGCAGCATCCTTTGGTCAGGTATTCACTCTGTTTTATGTCTTGAGTAAGCATCATATGAATCAACATGTAGGAGGTAAGCCTGATACTTTATATGCAATTTTTTTAGGTCTACCGAGGACGGACTCTCGATGGTTTAGATGTTGCAGTGAAAGTTCAGCGTCCTGATCTGAGACATGCAGTGCTACGCGACATTTACATTCTGCGACTTGGGGTTTGTGTGAAATCTACACCATATACTCATATCATTCTGCTTTAATAATTCTTAGTTATATGGTATATCCTTTTATTGTTGCAGTTGGGTGTATTGCGAAAGATAGCAAAGAGAGAAAATGACATTCGTGTATATGCTGATGAGCTTGGAAAGGGTTTGGCCGGAGAACTAGACTTCACTTTAGAGGCTGCCAATGCATGTGAATTTCGGGTAATGCGAATTAGGTTCTTCTTTTTGTCTAGACAACAGTCCAAAGAACCTGTTGTTAAGAACCAAAACTAAGGCTTTCTGCTTCTTTTGATAGAGAAGTAGCTTTCTTTACCTCTAAGTTGTTAGTATCTATATTTCTTCCTTAACAATAAGCCTCTTGTTTACTTTGACTGACTAAAGTTCTTTGTTTCTTGAAGGAAGCACACGCACGGTTTTCCTATATACGGGTTCCAAAAGTGTATCAACATCTAACGCGCAAAAGAGTTTTGACCATGGAATGGATGGTTGGTGAAAGCCCAACAGATTTACAATCAATAACTACTAGTTACTCTGAAAATGACACTCCGATTCATGAGAGACAGAAACATGAAGCGAGAAGACGTCTTCTTGATTTGGTAGGTTAATATATGCTTTGTAGTAGTGACATAACAACCTCCTGATATTCTATTAGATTTGGTTTGACATTTTTAAATGTAGTCAGTGAAAAAAGTGGAATCAATGTTGCAGCTGCCTTCAGTTGGTTGAATAAAAAATGCATTTTCAAAGTAGTTTGTTTTGATTTATGTTAATTTGTTAGTTATTAGTACCATGTTGTTGGAATATACTTATGTTCAAATAACTTTGATATTTATGTTAAATTTTCATTGTGTAGGTGAACAAAGGAGTAGAGGCAACTCTAGTACAACTCCTTGACACAGGTATTTTGCATGCCGATCCACATCCTGGAAATTTGCGTTACACGACATCAAGACAAATAGGGTATCGCCTGACTCATTCATCAGCGTAGCTTACAAAAAAATAAAATCTGACTGTGACAAGGTGAGCTTTATTTGATAACAACGTGTTTCTTTGCAAGGTTTCTGGACTTTGGTTTAGTTTGTCGGATGGAAAGGAAGCATCAGCTTGCCATGCTCGCATCAATAGTGCACATCGTGAATGGTGATTGGTCTTCCCTTGTTGAAGCGTTGACTGATATGGATGTCATCACGTCTGGCGTCAATACGCGTCGTTTTGCGCTGGTAAATACCTGGTAACTCAGATATTGTATTTGTAGTGTATCGTTCTGTAAGATGAGAAAGAAATTGCTGTTCTCATATCTGAATATGGTTCTTAAAATGGTAATGCAGGATCTGGAATTGGCGTTGGGAGAGGTTGAACTTAAAAATGGGATTCCTGATATCGAATTTACTAAGGTAAGGCATGTATTTCAGAAACTGGTGTTAGTGCACCTTCGTTGAGACAAATAATATATCTACTACAAACGACAATGCAACCAATCTTCTGAATAAGTACTAGTGGACTCGCTAATTTTTTCAAATGCATGTAAATTTTCCAGGTGCTTAGTAAAATACTGCAAGTGGCCCTAAAGTATCAGCTACGCATGCCACCATACTTCACACTTGTCCTGCGTTCTCTTGCTTGCTTGGAAGGTACTTGTAATCCAATCCTTCGTTTTTCTTTTGTATGATGGTTTTGATTATTGTGGGTAGAAAATGAAATACCATTCAAGCATGTTTTGAGTATGTCAAGAGACAATCCACATTTTTAGCTAGTATATGTATCTGCATGGAAAATTTTTTTATGGTAATGTTTAATCATATATTTTCGTAACCTGGTATCCCTTTGTTATATGACTGAGACAGATAGCAATAAATGTTGTTATTCATGGAATGATCTTGGATGATAGTATAGTCAGATAGATAGCTTCATTTCTCATCTCTTTCTATCTATGCTTGGTTTCCGCAACATGACGATTTGCGTCATGCTTTTAGTTGTATTCATGTTTTTACAGGTCTGGCTGCATCTGGAGATCCAAATTTCAAGACATTTGAAGCTGCATACCCTTTTGTGGTTCAAAAACTCCTCACTGAAAACTCAGCTGCAACAACGAAAATTCTTCATTCGGTAATAAATAAGCTTTTAGTGCCATTCGAGTGATTTCTTAGATTCACAGCAAAAGAAGACAAACATTTTTTATCTCGCTCATAAAACCAAATAGCAGTTGGAAACTTGACTTTATATCATTAGTAGTAAATCCGAGAATTCAATTACATATCCTTTCTGGAATTTACACTTTTTTATTTTCATTGCGCATTGTCTTTTCGGTGGACTGAATAAATTTTCTACACTGTTATGTTGGTGTCTGCAGGCAGTTCTTAACCGAAAGAAGGAGTTCAGATGGGAAAGGGTTGCTCTTTTCCTGAGTAAAAGCTCTGCGAGGTATAGTGAATCAGACATTTGAATTATGTCTAGTTATCTTATGTCTCTGTTGCATAAAGAGGTGTGCTAGTTAATATGGGAAAGATGAGAATTCTAGTGCAGCAGAGAACCAAAGTTGAGTTACTAAAGCAGCAGATCAACATAATTTTGAAGTGTGAAATATGCATCTAAATTAGCTTTGACTGAGAATGACTAGATTTGAATCATCTTAACATGCAAATCCTTTCTTATTTAGATGTGTTTATTGTTTGTCGGTATTTTAGGTCTCTCTATAACAACTTAATTTGAAACCTATTCTAGGAAAGGTTCTCCACTAGTAGCATCATCAAGGGATGAAACTTCTGCTCACAGCAGTTCCAATCAAACGGACAAAGATGTTGACACAGTAAGTTTGGTCATGAAGCTTTTGGCATCCAAAGACGGCGTGGTTCTTAGAAGACTCTTAATGGCTGCGGTTAGTTTCTACATCTATCGTTTAAGTCAATGTGCTTTATTTCTAAGGGAAATGATCTTAACATTAGCAGTTTGGTATGGTTCTATGCTTTGATAAGCAGAATGGGACTTCACTGATCCGGACATTCATTTCAAAAGAGGCAGATGTCATCCGCCAGAAACTTTGCACAATGGTTGCAGATACACTGTACCAGTGGATGGTCGGGATCTCCGGAGTTAATTCCCTTAAATTTATCTCTCTTTCAGACCCACCAGCATCTTTAGGAACAAACACTTCATTAAAAGATTTCAAGACTTTGATTGGAGACAAACGTGTCAGAGTGATTCTGAGAAAGATACTTGAATCTCTAAAGAGTGACCGAGTATTGACGCTCAAATTCTGCTGGACGTCCTTCGTTATGTTTGTCACCGCCTCTGCTCTTGCTTGCCATCGGTTTGTAATCTCAGTCTCTGAAGGTTACGTCAATTACTTGTCTCTGTCTGCTCCTGTCGCACTTCGTACCTGAACAGAACCAGAAGCATCTAATGTATATTGTTGTCAAGCCCCCGGGTAATATAGTCCTTGGTAGAAGGGTGAGATTCCATAGAAAGTCTCCAAGATTTGAGTGTATAGATTTGGCTCCATGTCTAAATACTATGAAACAATTATTGTCACAGATGTAATGAGATATGACTATGTTACTATTACAAGCATCATATTCGAGACATCAGGAACCTTTTGCTCTGTTTCAAAACACTTGTCAGCAACTATACGTTTTGGAACATAACAAAAGCAAAGTCGATGGGAGAAATGTCATTTAAAATTATTTAATATCATCAAACGTTTTGATTTTTGTGCTGACAGCAAAAATATAGACGAAAAAAAGAACGAAAAGTGTTCATTTACAAAGAATGATCAACAAGTATAGAAATGCCCCATATCACTTCTTGAAAGTAAACTCTGGCAAATCAACTTTGGCATTCTCAGAGCATGATTATCCCTAAACCCTTTATAGGGTCTCTTAATTATTTTTTAATAGTTTTTGAAGTGTAAAAGTGAATTAAGAGACTTAGAAAGAAATTTGAACTTTTAGGTGTTTTATTGCAAGTTTCTTAATTATAGGTTCTTAAAAAAAATTGTATGAGTAAACTTTTTCTTTTCAACTCATATGCAGCAAAGACCGA